GAGAAATATAAGTGAAATGGAATATCCAGGAGATTTATTAGAGCAGTGGCCTGCAACCTTTCTGGCACCAGAGACCAGTTCCATGGAAGACAATTTTTCCACAGACAGGGGTAGGGGCACGTTGGGAGGGATTGGGGAAGGGCACTCAGGTGGTGATGTGAGCAATTGGGAGCCTAGAGTCTGTAAATACATATGAACCTTCACTTGCTCACCCGCTTCTCACACTCACCTCCTGCTGTGCAGCCCCCAGTTCCTAAGTTTCATGGAAGACAATTTTTCCATGGGGGCGAGGAGGGCACAGAACTCAGGCAATGATGTGAGGTCTGGTTCTTAACAGGCCATGGACTGGTACCAGGCCACGGTCCGGGAGTTGGGGACTGCAGTATTACAGGATAAAACAAAGTGACCTCCCTGAAACAGTAGCAGAAAGGCCTAAATAAAGAACAGGATAGAAAAAAGACATTAAAGAGGAATAAGATAAGGAAAAATGGCAAGAAAATTAAATTTGCTATGGTGAGATTTAATGTCTCTACTCTTGTAATAAAAAGCAAAATTGAATCAAACAAAAAGCCCACAAATCATGACATGAGGAAATTGAGAAATTCTCACTAAAGTGCATATCAAACCAGGCTAGGCACACTTTGAGTGCAAGTAGTATTTGACTAGTGGCTACCATATTGGCCAGCACTGGTATAGAGTGATTATGTCTAGTATGATGTCACACAACTAGTTAGTAGAACCAAGACGCAACTTTAGGTCCTTCTGACTGCAAGGCCTATATTCATTCCCTTTAAGGAAACTATCAAGAGGTAAATGTATATCTGACCCTCACCTATTCAATTCAGACTAACAAAATCCTGCCTAGAGGATGAAATCTACAGCTGTTCAAATAAATATTGAAAAAAAAAACTAAAAAACACAAAGTCCATTTATATAATGCCATTATATAAAACAAATGTTTCAAAAAAATAAAAAAAGTATATTTTAAATAACTTAGGTCTATTATATACATGAAGTATGAACATGATACTTTATGTATATCAGTGTATAACAACATTCATTTATATTATAATCAGTTCCTGTTTGGGGTACTTCAAAAATCAAAGATGCTAAAACATTATCATATTCAATACCAAACTATACATTTTATGTCATTATCATCTAGAAGGTATGTGTATATAAATAGGTATTGTTTTAAAACTCTGGATTATTTATAAACTACTTAATAGAAGGGAATATACTGGTTTATCATGAAAATATACTAAATTCATGTAATATCAATTATATAAATTAAAGCATAAATTATCCAACAAGCCATGATTCTTGGGAAAAGTAAAGACAGAAAAAAGAAAAAGAACAACAACAACAAAAAAAGCATAAATTAAATTAAATGTAGTGTATATTTCTTAGTAATCCATGGCCATTAGTAACCCAGAAACCTAGAAGTTACCCTGGACTCCCTCATCCTTCTACCTTAGCCCCATATTCAACCAACCACGGAGGGCATCATCTGTGAAGTTTAATTGTTTAACATCTCTTGAATCAACCACTCTTCTCCACTAATTTCTCTCCTTCACTATCATCACTGTGATCTAAGCCAATATCCTCTGTGACCTGGACCCTTCTAACTTGTTACTCTCCTATTCCTCTCCACCTAAAAATCACTGCAACCAAAGTGATTATTTACATTTTTAAAAAATTTAAAATGATCATGTCATTCCCCCTGCTTTTATTAAAACCCTTCAATGTCTTCATGTTGTTTTGTCTTAGGATAAAGACCAAAATACAGACTTGGGTGTTCATATTCTCTAATTTTTCAAGAGAAATCAGAAATCCAGACTTTTATGTGAAATCTCCAGATCTGTGAATGCTGACAACTAATTGAAACTTTTGTTAATTATGGTAAGGAGGCCAAAAAAATTTGTATGCAGGCCAAATCTGACCTCTCATCTAGTCTCATTACCTAATCCCACAGAGCTTCTCTCTACATCAGCCATACTGAACATTTCTCAGACTCTCCACGGTGATGACACACTTTTTTACCTTAGAGGTCTCACATGGGTTCTCTGCTTTGAGTGCTTCTCCCTCCAACCCTCATCTCTACTTCACTTAATGATCTCTTATTCAATTGTGTTTCTGAGCCATGCTTCCTCCAGGAAGCGGTCCCTATTCCCACTGCTCCCTTCACCTCCACTCTACAAACTAGATCACCCTGTTCATGGCATCAGACAGTATGGAGTACAACTTCGTAACACTCATCACACCTCAAAATAAAATTATTTATTTAATGTCCATCATCTTCTCCTAGATGGTAAGCTGAATAAAATCAGAGCCTGACATACATAGCAGGCATGCAATATATATTTCTTGCTAACTAGTTTGGTTATGTTTCTTTAGACAGTAAGATTGTGGTGTACTTTTAAAATATTAATCAAACTTTACCTAAGTTTTCAGAAACACAGGCAGTATTTAAAGCAAATCAGATCTATAATCAAAATATTCCATTACAATTTTAATTACTACTACTACCACTAATAATTGCTAACATTTATTGAGGATTTACTAATGCGGAACTACACTGAGCACTTTGCATGTGTTATCTCATTCAATACAACAAACTATAAAGTAGATGCCACTAAGGAAGCAACTTAGGCATAGAGTTTAAAAATTAGCTCAAGATCGAATCAGTGGCAAACTGGGGTAGGAATCCATGTAGTCTGACCCCCAGTGTTTAAACACCAAAATACTATACTAAACTAATCCAAAAATAATGATTTATTTTCCATTACTTAAAGTAACATTCCTCATCCCTCTATCCTGTACCCTTAAATACACATACACAATTAAGATAAATTGTCAATTTGTATTTTCTAAATTAAGAAAGATTTTTTGACCCACACCCAAAATAGGTATGATCATAGTACAAACTAATTCTGTAAAAATACTATCTAATAAATATTTATACATTAATGTTTTCTGTTTTCACATTTTAAACTTACACTGTATTTCCTTGTTCAAAGTAAAACAGCTGTTTATTACTACAGACTACGTTTTCACATACAAAAGCAACAAATAACACATTAAGCAAAGATAAAAATTAACCAACATAACCACAGAAATATACAAAGATAACATAAAGATCTCTCACTATCTGAATTCTCAATTTCAAGACTCAGGAATCAAATAGATTTCAATAAATTCTCACATGTATCACTTGCTATCCAGGCTCTTACTATCCAAAACTCAGAATCTGGCTCACTCAACCACCCCTACAAACCTTGCTATAAGAACTCAACAACCAATCTCTTACTCCAATTTCAGGAACTCAGTAATTTTGGATAGCTAAATACACATGCACATATATTCATGGGCTACATAAATTTAAGAATTCTTTTTTAAATTATTTAAGCACACTTTTAAAAATGTGAATGAAATGCACATATCTCTATTTTCATTCAAATTTTGTATTTTAACTCCACTTAACTCAGAATTTTTCTATGTAAATGTTCTTAAACCAGAATGTGGCCAAATTTCTTAAACTTTTAGTCCACACAAAACATTTTTTTAAAAAATGGGACAGATTACTTAAATAATCAGATTAATTAAATAATGTTTAATGCGTTGCTACTGTCAAAAAGCTCAGAGCCAGTCTTAAATAACGTTTCTTCAAATGTTCATCATAAGTGATATACAAATACCATGGGAAATAAGGTTTTCGAGGAAAACTGTACTTTCAGTGTTAATTTTTCAGTTACATATTTCACAGATACCAGATTTTTCTTGAAGTCACAAAAAAGCAAAAGAAAAGAAATTCAAGAGTATAGAAGTTGAAAATGGCGAAAATCCCAAAATAACTTGGATACAAAAGAATAGTACAAAGCAATATTAGAACTACTCCATAAAGTTCAGCCAAAACAAGAACCAATCAAGTAATGAATTAACTAAGTTAAGAAAAAATGAGTCCTCCCTAAAGCAGAGTATTTTCCCAAGAATTTAACTTAAGCTCACATTTGAACCTAAGCTTTTTCAAAAACCATGTGCTTGATAAAAAGTTAAAATTAACATCATTCGAAAACTGAAATCAAGCATATGATTTTTCACATACTCAAGAATTATTGTAAGAAATTGGGAAGAGAGGGTAGGTTTGAGGAAAGTAAACTATTTCTCCAAACTCTTCTTTGGAGTAAAAATACACAAACGACTTAAAAGAATTGTAACTAGTACCCCCACTTTATCTTAATTTGGCTAGAACTCCCAAGAACTCCCTTCAGATTTGGTGATCTAGAAGAATGTGAACCCCTTAATGGACCAAATTCTAATAGTTACTTCACACAGTCCATCTCTCACATTAAAAAAGTAGCGAGCAAAATTTAACTTCAAAAAAATAACTAAATCTTGTCTACAAGCCTCACAAAGTGAAATGACTTAGGATTTGATATATTCAGCTTAACTGATTCCCTACAGAGCACCAATAAAAAGAACAAAACTCAGGATATTTTCACATGTTAAGAAACAACAGGTATATTCTACCCATGTTTGTCATCCTGAAGAGCTAAGATTCACCACTAAGCTTCAACTACAAGCCAGAAAATAAGAGCCCTTTGGTAGAACAAACCCAAAGGAGCTGTCAAGATTGAATGTATTGATTTCACATGGTGTCATGATGATTGAATGCAAACTGTTCTTCATAAATACAGGTGCAAGCATATGTCACTACTTCTTTAGATTATGTTTTCATACCTCCATTCCCAATTGTCCACATTATACACAACAACTCTGAACACAAATCATCCTCTTATATAAAATGAACGAGCTGGACTTTAGTGGGGATTCTAGGAATCCTTCCAATCTATAGTTCTACTCAGCCCTTTCGAATTACAACTCTTACCACGACTTTGAGAAAATTACATGCCACTGCAAAAAAAAAAAAAAAAGACAGATTTGATAACTGTACCTTGTTCTGCCAAATATTAGTACCAGAACTTCTGAAATAAACAAACCTGTGTCTGTGTTCATCGGGTCCATGGATCAGGAAGACTCCAGAGTTTTTAGCCCCTTTAGCATCTACATGAGGAATTAACACATCTTCTAAACCCAGATCAAAGCGTTTGTGTTTTGAAGAGTCTGGAAGGAAAAAGAATGCCCCAAAACACAGGGTGATGAAGGCACTAAGAATAAGGAGAAGGATAAACTTCTCAGAAAGTCTCAAGGTAGCCCTGTGATGTGGGAAGGAGGGCGGCCCCAAGTTCAGAGGTGGTATCCTACGTCCAGAGAGGGGCAGCAGGGCTGGGGTAGTCATCCTTTACGCTCGTGGACAGAATACTTTATAAAGTTCTCATCTTACATCAAATGAACAATACATTGAATTGTCTTCAAGACCTTGGCAAAAATGGGGAAACTCAGTTTCTCTCCTCTTAAAGGACTGTTGTGCTTTTTAAGAGGGCACTTCTTCCACGCTCGTCCAATTACATTCAGAAACGGGTGTGTTCCTCCCAAACGGTAACTAGTCTGTCCTGTGATATCTTCTTTGCCATTTGGCTTTCAGTGCCTCATCGGGTTATTATAAGTCTCCTCTTCATTCTTAGGGGTAAATTAGGCAAGCCACACTGCAGAGAAGCTGCAAGGTAGGTTGTTCCATTCCTGCATCTCAGTGAGATGCTCAAATGTCGTCTTCCGCCCCAAAAGGGAGCCAGGTGAGATCCAAGCAGTTGTAGATGGTTAATTTCCTCTGACTCTTCTATTCCAGAACCTTTTATCCTCAGAAGGGGAAAAATAAGGGTCTCCACGGAAGTCTGCAAACAGGGAGGAAGGTCTCCCACCTCGCCGGGAAGCTGAAGCGGCAGTGCTGGGTGAAGTAGCAGGAAGGAGTTCTCGGCTGCCCGCGCTCCCCTACGCTGCCTGGCAGGCTCGGGGCAGAGAGCTCCGACGCTGCCCCCTCGACGGCTGGCACGAAGGGCAGTCGCGTCCAAAATACCGGAGCCCAGCGAGCCGCCGCGGCCGCCGCCGCTGTTGCTACCGCACGGGTCTGTCAGGGAGCGGAACTTCCTCCTCGGCGGCCACTGAGAAGCCCCGGCGTGTGCGGGGGAGGGGAGGCGCGGCAGCCGCCCCCGCCCGGCGGCTCCTCCTCCTCCCGTCCGCGGCCGGCTCAGTTAACCCCGGCGCCTGCTCCCCCGGCCAGCCGGCCGCTGACCCCGCCGCTCCCGGCCGCAGTGGTCGAGCCCCCGCGCCTCTGCAGCGTGGGAAGAAGCCGAGCCGTGGCCCTCGCTCCGAGAGCCCGGAGCAGGCGCCTGCTCATTCCTCGCTCAGCCTTGAGACGGCGGGCGGCCCCGGGCGCGCGGGAGCAGCCGCGCCTCGGGCTGGCAGAGGTCGGCTCCGTCTCCTTCCCGGCCGGCGGCCGCCGTGGGGGCCTCCTCCGCGCTGCCTCCGGTGGCTCGCAGCCACTCGCCCTGGCGGCGGCTGCCGGAGAGGTAGCGCGCCCACGCGGCGCAGGGCTGCGGCCCGGTCTTCGTCCCCTGCCTCCCTAGGCCTGGTGAGCGCGGAACAGCCGCCGGTCCGATGCCCGCTGGGCGCACGCCTGAGAGGGACCGGAGCGTGAAGGGGGATGGCGACGGCGCGCGGGCCGGCCTACCGGCCCCGACTCACGAATGGGCGTCCCCGGGCGGCGGAGTGTGAGGTGCGCGCGCACGCTCCCGGCCTCGCCGCCGCCCCTCCCCCGCCCCGCCCGGCTGGCCTGCCGGCCCGCGCTGCGCGGGCTCCAGCCTCCCGGAAGCGTCCTGCCGCCGCCGGGCCGGGGCGTGCGAAGGGAGAAGGTCGCGGATCTGCGCCGCCCTGAGAACTTCACCGACGCCCAGAGCTTTGCCACCGCCCTCAGTTAATGGGGCTGACCTGGCGTTTGGGCGAGAGGGAGCGAGGGCTCAGGTCGCGAAGGTTTTCGCTGAAATTAAGGGTTACAGGAATTAACGGATTCTGATGGCTAAGGTTAACGTTTAATCTTGCTCTGTAGAAGTCCTGTCTTCTTTCATAGACCGCCGGTCCCGAGGGTTCAGCAACAGAGTCTCAAACTTCCATGCAGCCCATGCACACGTTGTTGCACACCCAAGGCTCAATTAATAGAGAGCGCCAGCCATGTGCCAGGACCTGTGTTAAAAATAAAATGGCAATTTCCTTTCTGAGGAATCTAGGTGCCCCCTATATGACAGAAGCTTCCTCATTGTTCAATTTCTGGAACATGTTCTACTGTCATCTTCACATTCCTCACCACCAACCCTCCCATAAAAGAGATAACGAGGATGACTGAGGAGGTACCAAACCCAAAAAGACAACAATATTGTTTAAATTCTGACTAGAAAACAATCTGATTCAATTCTGTTATCCATAGTATTAGGAAGAACCATGTTGTGATTAAGCTTGCAGTATGTATATATTCTCGCATCTGATTGACTTTCAGATTGTTTTTATTCTAATATTGTCATTCTCTGTACACATGCTTTTTCATGACTGGGAATTGAAAAGGAGGCCTTTAAATGGCAGGGGAGTAAAAGTCAGCCTTAGATTAAAAATCAAGCAAAAAAGCCTCCTGTTCATTGGCACGATTCATCACTACATTCCAATATGCCAGTCTGCACTATTTCTAGAAGCTCTGCATATCTATCTACCACATGACAAAAGAAGGCATTGTCATTGACCCTGCTTCAGCAAATAAAACAGTCAAAAATGTTACGGGCGCCTCTGATGAATTCACTGAGCCAGGCTGGCAGCAAAGAGTACCCAATCCAAAGTAGGATTTGTATTGGACACTTAGGAAGAGCAGATGTAAGAAACTTTCTGCCTTCCCAATGTGTCTTTATAAAATGTGCCAATTTTATGAACAAGGCTCTAATGTTGAGAATCTGTGTAAGCCAAAGGAAAAGAAACGCTTTGGTTTCCTTACTGTTGAGGTCACTATTTTTTCCATGAAAAGTTCCGGGAAAATAAATATTGACCTCTGAATGAAATAGCAAGTTATATAAATCTTGAAAAGTAAATATTACCTAGGTTAACACCAAATTGGTAACCACCAGATATAGCAGTCATATGAAACCTGCCGTAACTTAGTTGACAAGTGTGACTTAAGGAGGTTCAACCTCATAGCTGGTAGAGAAGGCTTAGATGTAAGAAGATCTAACATCTAAGATGTAAAAAGATCTAAGAAGGCTTAGATCATTTTCTCTTTCTTTGCTCACCTGTTTTGCAAAATTCATTTTTCTTTCATGAGAATAAAAACATAAATTAGTGGTTATTGCAGATGTCTAAATGCAACCTGGAATTTTAAAGCCATAGGTGAAGCCATCAGTTATTTTATTACATTCCTATACCAGCATCAGAAATGTTTATATAATATATATACATACTCTTCTAGATACATTCCAAGTTTTAAAAGAATAGTACTGTTTAAAAAAAAATCAAGTTGCAAATTTGTTCATTATGATTACAAGTATATAAAAATATGCATATAAAAATAAAATGGAATATTTGAAAAAGATCACAACTGTTGTGTTAAGATGTTGGTATTACATATGATTTTCCCTATTGTGTTATGGTTATGTTACATTTATAATTAAAAATTTATAAAGAAACTGGTACTTAAGAAAGTCAGATTTCAAGTAGTTGGACTCAGTCATATCAAGATGGACATATATATAGACAAGTCCATCTGAGAGCAATCAGTAGAAAGCAAAGAATATGCAAACTGTTTTCTGTGTGTGTGTGTGTGTGTGTGTGTGTGTGTGTGTCTATACCCATAAAACAGAGAAGGATTTCATTCCAGGAAGCTAAAGAGAATTATTTCATTTTCAAAAAGTAGTTAAGCTTTGATCAAAGATTCAAAAGTGGCAGATAAAGTGGTGATTTCTCTTTTACAAATCCATAGAAATTAGTTACTATTTTACAAAATTAGAATTATTAAATTACTAACAAACCAAAATTTACTCCTACAGATTTCAGATTTATAGGACCACTTCTGAGATGGACTCATGTATTGCAATGTAAAAGTCACTTGTATTTATTTGTTCAATCATATGTTGACTTTTCCATTATCAAAACAATTTTAACACCTATTATGTACACATACACACACACATCATCTAGCTCTGTTTTAAGTTAAACTGAAGTCATATGGCTAAAAGGAAAAAGATACAGCTGGTATGCAAAAAGTGGTTTTTGATTTACTTACATAACCTGTTCTTCCTTAGTTTCGACTGGTTCCCAAAGTGTCTAACGAACATGTTAGAGAAGAAATTACTAGGCATGACCACTAAATGGGAGACAATCAGGCTTTGGCCCTGCTCCTTCTTCTACAAAGCACTTTCCTCAGAGGTCAAAGATAAGCTGCAGTTCAATGCTATGAAGCTCTCAAGTTAGCACCATGCAAGTCAGTAAAGCCAAATAAAGCTTAGGCTGCTTCGCTAAGCCAAAGTACTTGAGGTTCATTTGCTTATAAAAGACGCATTTGTTGAAGGACTACTGTGTGACAAATCCTCTACTAGGTGCTAGAGATTTGGAGGAATAAGTCGGAATCCTTATGTTCAAAGAGCTTGCAGTCTGGTGTGGGGAAATCGGTGAACACTGACAAGTAAATGACAGTGGGAAGAATCCTGTTAGAATAAAGTGCCGGGGCTTATAGAAACACTGAAGGGGCACAGAGTGAGGAGAGGTAGATTGGGAGTGTGTCAGGGAAGCATTCTGGATCAAGTGTCACCTGAGCTGAGCCTTCAATTAACCAGGAGAAGAAAAGGGTCATATTCCAACCTAGGGAGCAGAACATGCACAGGTACCCATACCTGGTTGTTCCTGCCACTTACATAAAACACTTCCTACTTTACTCTTCCAGTAAACAGCTTGCCCAGCCCTAATCTCCCAACACTCTTGAACTGGGAAAGTGAAAATGGTAGGGCAGTGCTATTAGCTACATTGCAAGCAAAATGGATTCAGAATGACTAATGCGTATCATAAACGTGTTTGTGTAATCAAACTTAGATGGCATTCTTGCTTTCACAGGCAGTACTCTGTTATTTCACACAAATGTTTTACCTCTTTAAATCCATTAATAAAATGGGGCTATCCAAATGCATATAAGAGGTACCATGGATTATGGACAGAGTACTGAACTAGAGTCAGAAGACCTGGATTTCAAACCTAGCTCTATCCCTGAATTTCCTCATTTATAGAACATATAATAATCTTTCCCTGCTTTATAGAACTATTTAAGGATCAAATGACCTAGTGTTGATCAACACTCATGGGTACATAATGGGAGTAAAATTCAGTGGAAATCAAGCAGGTGGGGGGAAGGAGGGGATGGGTAAATTTATATCTAATGGAGACAATGCACACTATCTAGGTGATGGACACTTATAACTTTGACTCAAACTATGCAAAAGTAATTAATGTAACCAAAACGTTTGTACCCCTGTGATATTCTGAAATAAAAATAATTTTAAATGACCTTTTATATTGTCCAAAATGCTCTAAAAATATGTTAGTTCTATACAAAATAATACATTCCTGATGGCTGTAGTGTTTGTGAGACTTGGAGACATGAAATTTTAGTTTGCCTAGCATTCCTTTGGAAAACTATCTTTCCCTCCAGTCTTAGTCTATTGGTCTAGATTGGGATGGCCTCCGGACCACATGCCATGGCACTTGCTCCCCACAGCCAACTGGATCCAAGGCTGGGTATGCTACTCAGATCTTACTAAGCAGTGGTTTACATTTCCCTGGTTGTAATGATTGATTCAGAGAAGGGCATGTGACTCTAACCAAGCTAATCAGAATCCTTCTTAGGTAATTTACTGGCATCATCAGCAAAAGAGGTCTTTATTTTTCCTGGAATTACCTGAGCATACTATAACCTTAGAGCTGCCAGAAGCCCTCTTTGCCACCATACGAGGAAGGTTGCCTGCTAATGAAGCAGACAGAGAATAAAAGAGCTGAGATACTGAAAGAGGAAGTATCCACTTGGCATCACTTGAGCCCTCGGCTTAGGGATGGATCTGAGTTTATGGGGCCTGAGATATACATAACTTGGTGAATCCTCTTTAAGAAAAAGAAAACAAAATCGTAAAAGCAAAATGAGATATAAAAGTGGATTTTGCTTAAACCGAATTCAATTACAAGCACATATTTCTTCATAGTGCCAGAGGTCACATCGACACTGCCTGACCCATGTGACCCATGAAGGAATGTGACTGGAAGTCAGAGCGGAGAAGAGACCACAGTCTTAATCAACTGTGATTTAACTATTTTATTTTGCAAAATTTAGAAAAACATATGATTATGTAAACACTGCTAGGACCTCTTCCACGGCCTAAGACAGGACCAAGCAATGAGAAACACAGAAGCTTAAACTTCATTAGGCTTATAGTAAATCTGCTTCTGCTTTGAATCTAGCCATATCTAACTTTAGTTCATCCTTTGAAGTTCTTAGTTACACAAGCCTAGAAATTTCTTTTTCAGTTGGAATTGGTTTCTATGGTTTGCAATCAAGAGTCTTGACTAATACACAGCATGTCTTTACGTGGAAGGACTGTGGCTGCCAGTAGTATGTGAAGCATCACTAGTTTCACAGGTGTGTTTACACTTCACACAAGGATCAGATACCAGAAGGACCTGCTCTTTCAGGT